AATCCTCCCTGACAGTGTAGCTCTTTGTGGCTTTTGTAATAAAGGGTCTGAGAATGGACAGCTCTGAAAAGTCATTTTCCACACGGCAGTGGTGGCACACACCTTTGATCCCAGCAGTCAGGAGGCAGAGGCAAGCAGATTTCTGTGAGTTCGGGGTCAGCCTGGTCTACAGAGCAAGTTCTAGGACAGCCAGGACTACACAGAGAAACCCTACCTCACATGGTGGGAAGTCATTTTCCAAACACACACACTGGATTAAGAGGAACCATTCTTTAGATGCTAGAAATTGTGAGGTTTGTGAGGAAGAGGTGCTGGTGACAGAGGCTCACCAAGGGGGTGGGCGGGTTGTTCTGTTCTGTTTACTGAGACAGGGTTTCTCTGTGTAGCCCTCGATGTCCTGGAACTTGCTCCATAGACCAGGCTAGCCTGGAACTCACAGAGATCCACCTGCCTCTGCCTCCCGAGTGCTGGGATCAAAGGTGTGCACCACCACTGCCCAGCTAGAAAAGATGCTTTATTATTATTATTATTATTATTATTATTATTAATGCTCAAGTGACTGTTCTCTCTGGGCTTCTGGCAAGCCCAGGTTTTTTTTTTGTTTGTTTTTAATTTATGGGGGCTGGGCAGTGGTAGCACATGCCTTTAATCCCAGCACTTGGGAGGCAGAGGCAGGAGGATCTTAGTGAGTTCAAGGCCAGCCTGGTCTACAAATCGAGTTTCAAGACAGCCAGGACTGTTACACAGAGAAACCCTGTCTCAGGGGGGAAAAAATAAAATAAACTTATGGGGGGGTGGCACACATGCTTCAGCATTATATGTAGAGGTCAGAGGAGAACCTTGTGGATTTGGTTCTCTGTCTCTGCCTTTATGTGGGTTCTGAGGATTCAACTCAGGTCTCCAGGCTTGCTCAGCACCTCTAACCATTGAACAATCTTACCAGCCTTCCCAAAGTTTCTGATTTACTAAGCTGGAAATGGGACCAAAGCATTTGTATGATTAACAGACTCCTAGGTGGGGCTCTGCTGCTGGCCAGGGATTACATGCAGAGACACACTAAAGGACACCCCCATGGCAACTGGCTTGTAAATCACCCTACAGCTCAGAGACCTCTCTTCTACTATCTGGATCTCCTACCTCCTCCAGTCCTTGTGGAAAACAGAGGGGCTTCCTGCTCTGGCCCAAATAACTTGTGGTTATATATACACACCTAAGGACATTGCCACTCTAGAAAAGAAATGCAGCCTGCCCGAAAACAACCCCATCCCAAACCAGAAACGTTCTTGCCCTGCTCTTGTCTCTGAAGAATGTCTGCTTCAAGATGGCAGAGGCTGGGTTGAACTGGACAGGCTCATGCAACCCATGCGTGGTCGTTTGAATGAATAAGAATGGCCTCCAGGAGCTGGAGAGACCACTCAGCGCTTAAAAGCACTGACTGTTCTTCCAGGGGACCTGGGTTCAATTCCCAGCACCCACATGGTAGCTCACAACTGTCTGAACTTCAGGATCCAATACCTTCATACAGACATACATACAGGCAAAACACCAATAAAATAAAAATTAAAAAAAAAGAATGCCCTCAGAAACTCATATATTTAAATGTTTAGTTACCAGGAAGTGGCACTATTTGAAAGGATTAGGATTAGGGGGTGTGGCCTTGTTGGAGGAAGTGTGTCACAGGATGGGCTTTGAAGTTTGCTCTGTCTCTCTGCTTTCAGATCAAGATGTAGCTCTCAGCTACTTCTCCAACACCACATCCAACACACTTACCTGCCACCATCCCCTCTGCCATGATGATAATGGACTAAGCCTCTGAAACTGTAAGCCATCCATCCAATAAAACGCTTTCTTTTATAAGAACTGCCTTGGTCGTGTTCACAGCGATAGAACACTGACTAAGACACCATGCAGCAGTAGAAGCCTTCCAATTGCTCCCTTCTCCCTGAAGCCATCTGTGGGTCACCCTGAGATGGATGAGTTCTCGGCTCCCTTCTGTATGTGGGCCCAGCATACATGCCATGTCACTTCATGTGGATCCATCACTACCTCATTCTGGGTGCTCTCTTGGGCAAGAACCCCATCATCCTGTCCTACAGAGCCTGGCACAAAACGGGTTCTGGTGAATTTCAGATTAAAACTTGAATAAAGGCCAGGCAGTGGTGCGCATGCCTTTAATCCCAGCACTCGGGAAGCAGAGGCAGGCGGATCTCTGTGAATTGAAGTCAGCCTGATCTATAGAGGGAGATCCAGGACACTCAGGGCTACACAGTGAACCTCTGTCTTGAAAACCAGAAGAAATAAACAAATCGAACTCCAGTAACAAAGGCTGAGAATGTGGCTCAGTGGCAGAACACTGAACAGGGCCAAGCAAGTGAAAAGTCTTGGTTTCAGTCGCCAGAACTATAAGAAATAAAACAAGAAAGAGCCAGTGAGAGGGGTCTGGAGAGCTGGCTCAGCAGTCAGAAGCATTTGGTGTTCTTGCAGAGGACCCAGGTTTCCTTCCAGCACCCACATGGCGGATCACAACTGTTTGGAACTCCAGCTCCAGGGGATCAAACATCTTTTTCTGGCTTCCATGGGTACTGCATGCATATAGTGAGCATACATATATGTAAACATGTACTCATACAGATAAAATTTAAAATAAAAGTTATTTTTAAAAGAACCAGTGAGGGATAAAAGAAACTTTTAGCATTTTTTAAAAAGAATAAAAGCATAGCCGGGTGGTGGGAATGCACACCTTTAATCCCAGCACTTGGGAGGCAGAGGCAAAGGGTTCTCTTAATTCAAGGCCAGCCTAGTCTACAGAGCAAGTTCCTGGACAGCTAGGTCTACACAGAGAAACCCTGTCTTGAAAAAAATAAAAATAAAATAAAACCCATATTCAAAGTTTAGGGCCAAGACGAAAACAATCCATCTTACAGCTACCTGTTTTCCTTCCGTCTCTGTGAATTTCAAGGCGCTTTGGTGGGTTCCAGTCCTGACCCCAGCCATACAACTCTGTACTGAGGGACGTCTTATATCTTGGCTGAGGCCTCTCCGTTTACCCAAGGGCCTGATTAGGTTGTTTCCATGCAGGAGTACCTAACTCCAGGGCCCTGATGCAACTGCCACAGCCTTGCCCTGGGGAGAGGGAATCAGTGCTACAAAGTGGTTTCGGCTTTTTCTTCGGGGGGCCTTCAAGTCTTGATGGAGGAGCTGGAAGAAACTCCCAGGCCCTCAAGGTTTTTTAGATCCTCTGAGCTGCTCTTAATCTTTGCATGGATGTTGAGCTCAGTGGTGGTACCATAGTCAGAGTGTAGTCTGTTGCTGGAGAGCTTCTCTCCATGAACTAACAGCATCAGCAGCACCAGGGAACTTGTTAAAAACACAAGTCAGGCTGGGCGGTGGTGGCACATGCCTTTAAAAACAAACAAACAAACAAAAAACCCCACAAATCAGCTGGGTGTGATGGCACAAGCCTTTAATCCCAGCACTCAGGAGGCAGAGGCAAGTGGATCTCAGAGTTCAAAGCCAGCCTGGTTTACAGAGTGGGTTCCAGGATGGCCAGGGCTGCACAGAGAAACCCTGTCTTGAAAACAAAAAATAAAATAAAATAAAAGCAGAAATCCTCAAGACTGGGTATGAGAACTAGGCTGCCCTCAAACTTGAGATCCTCCTGCCTCTGCTGCCCAAGTATACCACCACCCCTGACTTCTTACTTTTGTTTGTAATAGTTATTATTTTCTAAATATTTGTGAGTGTGTGTGTGTGTGTGTGTGTGTGTGTGTGTGCGCGCGCGCGAGCGTGTGCACACGCACATATTAGTGCAGGTATGAGAAGGCCAGATGAAGGAGTTGGATCCCCTGGAACTGGAGTTACAGATGACTGAGAGCTGCCATGTGAGTCTTCTGGATGAGCGGCCAGTGCTCTCGACCACTGCAGCGTCTCTCCAGCCTCCACAGTCAGACTTTCATTGGTTTATAGTGTTTTGTTGTCTTCAGCACTGGTAATAGAAGCCACCTTGTGAGTAGTGGCCAGGGGTTCCATGCCAAGGCACCTGACAACCCCTTTCTGTCAGTTTTATTCACTGATGAATCTTCAGTGCCCATCTCAGCCCTTAGGAGTTTAATCAAATTTCACAGACTGAATGAAAAAGTTACTTGCTCCAGATCACAGGCACCCAGAGGCGACAGTTTTCACTCTCGGAAGAGACAAGCACCTCACCCTCAGCTCTGGCCCAGAGTCCTCAGAGCCATGGCATGTTCTCACCCCAGGACAGAGCCCACTGGCAGCCCAACCTCAGGGGGTACCGGTGGACTCTGCCAGGACTGGTGCTCACATAACTCACATCCAAAGGCTGCCCTGGAAGATGGGTGGGAAAGGGGCGCCTCTGAAGGAGGAGCCTGTTTGCGCTGGTGGGGGCTAAGGCAACCATGATCAAGACAAGAAGTCTTCCCTCATTCTTCCAGCCAGCTAAGTACAGGGCCTGACAGCTGCTCCGGCCAGAAACCTGGGCCTTCGTGACTAGCAGGCTTCCCTTCCCAAGGGCACAGCACGTGGAGTAGCCCATAACATCTCTGCTGCCTCTGCTGGACTGACTCTAAATCCCCTATACTCCCTTCCAGAAGAAGCACAGTGCATCCTGGCCCGCAAGGCAAGGGCTCTGCCACCTGGCGCCTTCTGGTGGTACTATTTCTTAGGGCCACAACAGAACCCTGGGCCTCCCCAGCCACAGTTCTTCGCTTCTTATAGAAACGAGGATTGCAGTCACAGAGCAGAAATCCAAACCTCAGGAGTGAAGGTGACCTTGACCAGGCCCAACCTGATGAGCCAAGGCTCAGGGCGACATGAGTGGCCATTCTACTCAGCAGCTACACTCTCCATCTGCCAAAGGGGAGGCGGAAGCAAGCGCCTGCTGTCCTGAGTCTTCCTGCTCTGCCCTCTCTCTCGGTCCCTAACTCAGAGGGTCTCCTGCCCAGGCCCAGGCCGGGTGAGACACAAAGAGGCTCAGCTGTTGGTGAAGTATGAAATGCTAATGCAGAGGACTTTTATTGAAGGCCTACTGTGTGCAGAGCACCAGGTGTGCCTCTCACCTTCCTGCTAGCCGGGGAAGAGGGTGCTAGTGAGCCCCAGATGTGAAGCCAGGGAGGGGGCTGAGGTGGAGGTAGATGGAGGCAAGGTAGCCCCAGCAGTTGAGTCCTCAGAGAGGGCAGGATTCTGAGGTCTGGCCAGCTGGAAACCTGAAGGCTGAGGCCTCCCTTGTTCCTGAGCCCACCGGGCTCTAAATCTGCATGCAGAATCAAGAGTCTTGTCTTTTCACTTTGTGACATTCGGGGAATGGACTCTGTCGTTGAGTGGCTCTCCCAACCTGGGAAGGGTCCAGAGGGTGGACGAAGGGCTGAGCCCAAGATAACAGCCAGGCTTCTGCTGGTTCTGCCGCTCCGGTCCATCGCCCTCTCTGTTCTTGTTGCTCGTTGGTGTTCCCACTTGGACCCTATGGGCCTGAGGCTGAGGGGGCAGGAAGAGAGAAAAGGAAAGAGCTAGAGTCAGACACAGACCCCAGCAGCTGTGGAGAGAGACAGACACAAAGACAGGATGGAGATAAAACTAGATAAATCAGAGAGGAAGAGCTCAAGGGATGGGTGGGGGGAGGGGACAGGAGGGGGAAGAAAGGGAGGGAGCTGAGAGGGTGGAGAGATCTGAGACGCAGTTATGCCCCAGGGGAGAAAGCCCAGGCCATGGACTGGTCCTCTTCCAGGCCCAGCCTCACCTAGAGCTCATCCCTGGGGTGAGGATGGGGGCTATATCTACTGCTGCCAGCCAGGTGCAGGTGGGGGCCACGAAGCGTCTTTTGAGAGCCAGTCCAGCTAACGAGGCGGCCGCTGTCATCGTCCCAGGGGGAAGACGTCTCTGTGTCACTGAGCCATTCAGCATCTCCCGCATAGTGGGTGGGGGAGGCAAGCAGAGGCTGGGCTGAGAAGGCTTGGAGGTCCCGAGGCCAGAAGTGTGCCTTGTACTGGTCACTGTGAGTGAGAGGAGAAAGCTTAGGTAGACTGAAACAACTTCTCCTTGACTCTGGGATGCTAATCCAGAGCTGGGACCCTGACTGCCTGCAGACCTCTGCCCTGCCCACTGGTCCTCATAGCTACTTGAGAAGTGGTACTTTTAATATCCCATGATGAGGACAGAGGCTCAGCACAGGAACTGTGCTGAGTCATATGATTGAGAACCACACGGACAGGGGTTGGAGAAATGGCTCAGCCTTTAACAGCACTCACTGCTTATACAGGGTTCCAGCATCCTATCAAGTGGCTCTCTACTGCCCCTAAGTCCAGCTATAGGGGGATCTGACGCCCTCTTCTGGCCTCCTTAGACACCTGCATTCACACGCACATATCCACACACAGATATGCATAGTTCAAAATTCAAAATAAATCTAAAAGTAAAACCCACATGGAAATGGACAACACAGTGTTCACATCTAGCTGAGCCTGACACCTGGGCAACTCTTGAGTGACCGAGGCCACGTGGGTGAACCTTGACCATCTCCCTCTCTCGGGCTGCCTAATAACATTTTTTTTTTTTTTTTTTTTGCAGTGGACCCATGACTAGGATGACCCTGCCCTGGCCTGCCCCACCCAGGTCTCACTTTGGGTGCTGATCAAACATGACAGGCAGGAACTCATCCACAGGTAGCATGCGTCGCAGAGGCTGAGAGGCTAACAGTTTGCGGGCGCCTGCCAGACTCAAGGTGTATGCTAGTGTCCAATAGGAGTATCCGGCCACCACCAGACCAGGCAGACCCTCCACAGCCACCTCCTCCTCAGGGTTCACCTGCTTCCGGCCAAGGTAGCTGCAGATGACACCAAGGATGACAGGAGTTACCAGAGAGCCTGGCGTATCCTGGCCCGTCCACTGTTCCGCTCAGGCCAGGCTATGCAGAAAGTGCTAGCTAGGATCCCAGCCTGTATTCTCTCCCCCTTGCTCCTGAGAGGCAGGCTGCCTACATCAAGTCCCATGACAGCTTCTGAGTCACCACATCCTCCATCAGCCGTTCCAGCCGCCTCCGGAAGTTGTCCTCAAAGCGTACGTCATCCTCAAACACCACAACCCTGGCCAGGCCCCTGACAGCCACCTGTGGCACACATGACAGAAGAGAGAACTCTGCAGATTGGAGCTGCCCTGTTCCTGCCTACCTAGACCCAGGCCAGCAGACTCTTCTTGGCTAAGTACCACATACCAAGTCCTGGCCATATCATGGAACTACCCCAAAGCCTGCTGGGCCTCCCACTGCCTGGGGACTGAAATCCATCTTGCTCTGGCATGCAAGGCTCTCGAGTTCCCACACCCCAGTCTCTCTTACAGAGAGAATCACAGTGACAATCACGACTTTTGCTATGTTCACTCTATACTATGCTCTCCCAGAAGCCAGTGCTCAGCCTCAAAGAAGCACAGGCCCTTGCTCTGTCATCTGAAGCTGGGGTGGGTAGGGGGTGTGAGAGATTCCAACCCCTAAAATCACCAAGAAAAGCTACTTCCTGTAACTATGGAAAATGCAGGAAGAATGTGAAACCGGCTGGGTAAAGGGCCAACTGAGTCACCCCCTCAGTTTGCTCACAGATGGTAAACAGAAACAGGATCGCACAAGCACGCACACACACACTCCTTGGCAACTGAAGAAAAGGAAAACGAGATCCATGCACACTGTCTCCTGGAGGGGGCACCCTTGGGGGCCCAGTGCCCTCCAGGTCTCACACTGCTGCCCCAGCCAGGACTGAAGTCAAGCGCCCACCCAGCATGCACCAAGCTCCAGGTCCTCCTGACTCACCTCTCCTGGAGGAATTTGCCCATTTTCTTCCGCCTGGAAGGCTCTCCTCTCTGCCCTCCCTGCTCCCAAGGCAAGGCAGACTGACAGAACCACCTGCACCTCTCCCACATAATGCAGCCTTGGTCCCTCTTCCGATTTCTGTCACCCTCAAGAGCCCCAGGTTGTTTCCTTCCTTTTATGTGTGGTCATATGCTTAACATTTGGAGGCCGGGGTCAGTGCCACCTTTTTTTTTTTTTTTAAATTTTGAGACAGGGTTTCTCTCTGTAGCCTTGGCTGTCCTAAAACTCACTCTGTAGACCAGGCTGGCCTAGAACTCACAGAGGTCCACCTGTCTCTACCTCCCGAGTACTGGGACTAAAGGTAGCACCCACCTCATTTTTTTTGAGGCAGGGTCACTCACCAAACTTGGAACTTTCCATTTTCTCTAGATTGGTTTGCCAGGCAAACCCACAGGATCTGTGCCCCAGCACTGGGGTTACAGTCGTGCCCTGCTGTACCCAGCATTTCGTGGGTACTGAAATCTGTGTTCTGGTCTTCCTGTTTCCCCAGCAAGGACTTTACCACTGAGCCATCTCCCCACCCACAGAATCTCTCTCTTGTAGGGAGGAGACAGACAGTCTCCTTGTCCCGTTACCAGAGAAGAACTCCTTTCAGGGATCGGCCAGGGCTCAACAGAGACAATAGAATAAACAAGGTCACCCACCTCTCGGGGTGCCAGGGAAGTGCTGACCACACGGTTGGTTCAGTGAACCTTCTGTTTGGATGGATTTTTCACTCAGCCACTCCCACAGCCGTGACTAAGACAGCCAGTCGCTGCTGTCCCTGACGGGCACGGTCCGGAGGGCAGGTATGTATCCTCACCTCTTCCCAGATGGAGTAGTGGCTGAGGAAACAGCCCACCTCACCCTTGGTCAGTGTGCGGCCCGAGTAGGGGTCCTGGTAGCCAGGGAGCAGGTCCACACCCAGGCGCTTAAGGATACTGCTGTTGAGTGTCCTAGGAGACACAAGCGTAAGTGGGTGACGGGTGCCAACCAGTCTGTCCAGAGGGCCCTCGTCTGTATGTGTTGGAGAGGATCACATGGGAACCTGGTTAAAGGAGGATCCAGCTTGTAACTCCTTCGTGTGGCCTGGAGCTGTCACGGACTGGGCTTAGCCTCTAGCCTTAGTTAGAACTCTAGCCTCCTTCAGGAAGCCTCAGCAGAATGGACTTATGGAATCTGTGTAGGCAGAGGCTCCCTGGGATGAGTGGACAACCTGTTAGAGATTTTCTGCACCAAGGCCCAGTAAAGGACAGACACATGCTACAGGCCAGCTGGGTATCACGGTGCAGGCCTGAAATCCAAGCACTTGGAAAGCAGAGGCAGGCAGATCTTTGTGCATCTGAGGACAAGCCTGGTCTACATAGTGAGTTCCAGGCCAGCCAGGGCTGTGTGAGATCCTGTATTGAGAGGGAGGTGGGGGGGGGGGGAGGAAGGTAGGTAGACAGATAGAACAAAGCAACTCCTGGTGCACCTGTGTGATTCCAGGTCTTGGGAGGTAGAGGCAGAAAGATCAGGAATTCAATGTCATCCTCATTTATACAGCAAGTTCGGGACCAAACTTAGCTACATGAGATCCTGTCTCAAAAAACCAAGTCAAGGGCCAGTGGGATGGTTCAGTGAGATACAGTGTTCAACCCAAAATCCTGAGAATGTGAGTTCAATCCCCAGGTCCCACAGTGGAAGGAGAGGATGACTCCCAAAACGTGCCCTCTGGCCTCTACAGGAACACTGTGGCATGTGTGTGCCCTCATACACTCATACACACACACACACACACACACACAAACACGGACACAAACACGGACACAGACACATAAACACACACACACAACTAAATAAGTTTGAAAATGTTCTAAAATAGAAAAAAAGAAAATTTTCTAAAATAAATGCCAAAAGAATAATGGGGGAGTATGGTCAAAGCATATTATTTATGTCAAATTGTGAGATATATATATATAAGAACAAAACATATATACAGAATGTGTGTGTGTTTGTGTGTGTGTACAAAAAGGACCTGGAGGTTTGAAGCAAATGGCAGTTGGCATATGGGCCATGTGACCCCGGTAGCAGTTGTAGCTTGGCCTCTGGATCCCCCTGGAACACAGCCACACTTCTTGCACACTCCCCACTCTGGCTCCTCAGGGGCCTAACTCTGGCATGGAGAACATTCCTCAGGCCATCTACCCCTTGGAGTACTTTATAGGTGTTGGATCTTGCCTACGTGTCTCATTGGACCATCAGGACCACAAGAACCAAGCATGATTATGTATCTTTTGTGAGACTGAGGGATGGGACAGCTTGTGAGAGGTCATACAACTGGTATGTGGCAGCCCTCAACCCAGGCCCTGGAGTCCTCTGCACTGCACTCTCCTCCTCCCTAGGGTGAGCTGAGGGAGGACGTCTCGTCTCATCCTGTTGGCCTATGCTGGCACTCCTGAGACAGCAGGACTCAGGTCCTGTGTGGCTGCCTCCTGGGACTTTAGGAAGTTCATTCAACTGGCCTGCTCGTCCACTCCTAGGATCTCAGATGGGTTTCATGGCCCCCGAACCCCATCTGTGGGAGCCTCACCTGCCGTCCACAGCATCTACCACTTGGGCAGAGATCTCCATCTCCCAGAGAGAGCTCAGCATCCGAGCCCGGCGCTGGGGTCTGCGGGCCAGGCTGATGACAAAGACCTAAAAGACGCAGAGGTAAGCCTAGGGAAGGATAGCTCATCCACCCCACCCCAATCCCACACGTTGGAGACTTACTTCATCAAATCCCATCTTGTTGGGCTTCTTTAGGGGCCGAGACACATGAGCTGAGGCCAGCATGGGGGGCCCATCCACTGTAAAAGGAAAGAACACCCCCAACCCGCAGGCCTGAGTCCTCCTGGCTCCTGGTCACAGACACCCTGGAGTCCGGCCCCAGCTCCATTCCTATCACTCCAGCAGAACACCTAACAGGACAGGCTCCCTGAGCGCCTACCCATTGTACAGATCAGGAGACTGAGGTACCACAGGGAGAAGGGCTTGCTCAATGCCATGACACAAGTTCAGAACAAGGTTGGCACCCAAACATGCTTAAATCTATGCCTAGGAAAGGAGCATTGTGGGAAGGCGGGGGACCCCAGTCCTCACCTAGTGCTTCCAAAATCAGGTGGATGAAGTTGGCCTTCTCTTCTTCCAGCCCCTGGTGGGCCTTCACCGCCACATTCATGTACCCGTAACGATGGTCATTGCACACATGCACTGAGACCCCTGCAGAGAGGCTACCTGAGTGCGGGAGCTGGGGTGAGCCTCTCAGTAGACACTGCAGTGACCCAAGGCTTGTTGGGACTGTTCTGCCACAGTGAGGAGGGCACTGGGCCACCTCTCCAGCAGTTTCCGTCTTATTTGTCTACACACTGAGGACTTCTCTAGCACCTCATGGACAAAACAATAAGCACCCTAAGGGCACATGGCTTGCTTGAGGACTTAATAGATACCTCTAACCCTCTCTGACCCTCAGTGAAGTTTTCCCATCACCAGATCGTCAGAGCCCTTAGCTATGCCCCAGTCTGGTGCAGATCCTTCTCAAGCAGGGTGTCCAACATCACTGCCTTCATCTTATCTCCAGCTCTTCCTTGTTGGGGCTGTGTTTGGTAGGGGGAAGGCAGATGAGATGGGGTCTCACTTTGTAGCCTTGGCTGACCTGGAACTACCCATGTAGCCTCGGCTGGCCTCGAACTAATAGAAATCTTGAGGGGGGAGGGGACCAGCAGGTACAAAGGCCTTGGGGCCCCCAAGGAATATGCTCAAGGAGGCCTGGTCCTCACCAGCAGCCTGGCAGGCGTAGGCGAAGACGATGATGTCATCAAAAGGCCAAGTATAGTTGGGATGAGGCGGGTAGAAAGCAAGCCGGGCTGTTTCCTCCGTCTTCAAGGACACCAGGAAGGTAGAGTGGACCATGGGGACCCGGAAGCAGCCCTGGCGCTGGCGGTTCTTGGTAGGGAAGTATTCAGCTGTGCGGCGATAGTAGCCCTGAAGGAGGGAATGTTTTGGGGCTGGGGCCAGGCCTGTCCTGGCCCAAAGGCCCTGAAGCCTGAGGCTCTGTGCTTTGAGTCCATCCTCCCAGCCTCACCTGTGGAGTGATCCCACACCAGAAGTTGGAATAATAGGTCTGGGAGTCCAGCATTGGGGCCACCACTGGCAGGTGCCGCTCTGTGAGGAGCCGCAGTGTCTGGTTGTTGGTGAGAATGTTGTCTGTGTCTGCGAACTTTGGGGAAGGAAGATGTCACAAGGAATCCTGTCTGAGCCTCAGGACTGAAGAGCTCACTGAGTGGGAATTCCTTCAGAGTGGCTCTGGGCACATGTACCCACAGAGAGATCTAACCAGAACCAGAGAAGTGGTACTTGCTGCCAAGCCTGACAACCTGACTTCAGTCTCGAACCCACATGATAGAAGGAAGGAACCAAGTCCCCAAAGCTGTCCCCTGACATCCACGTACCATAGTGTGCACACATTTGCACACCTATACACAGGATACAAATAAACAGTGTGTGTGAGGGGGTCCTAACCAACACAGTCCATTTCTGACAAGAGGCTGTTCTAAGACGCTGGCTTGGAGCAGAGCAGGGAGCAGATCTGAGGATCTACTCTGAGACTTAGCTTAGAGGGTTGACCCAAAGAACCACTCTAAGGGGCCTGGGGAGGTGACTCAGTGGTTAAATGCACTGCTGGCTCTTCCAGGGGACCTGAGTTTGAAACCCATCAACTGTATAGTGTGGCTCACTACTGAGGGTAGCTCCATTTCCAGGGGATCTGATGTCCTCTTCTGGCCTCTGTGGACACTGCATGCATGTGATGCACAGACATACATGCAGGTAAAACACCCACTTTCATAAAACAAAAATAAGTCCGGGGCAGTGGTGGCACACGCCTTTAATCCCAGCATTTGGGGAGGCAGAGACAGGCAGATCTCTGAATTCGAGGCCAGACTGGTCTACAGAGCAAGTTCTAGGACAGCCAGAGCTATATAGAGAAACCCTGTCCCAAAAAAACAAGTAGATAGATAGATAGATAGATAGATAGATAGATAGATAGATAGATAGATAGATAGATACATACATACATACATACATAGATACATACATAGACAGATACATAGATACATAGATAGATACATAGATACATGAAACAAAAATAAATATTTAAAAAAATCTACTCTGTGCTCTAGTCCTGGGATCCAGGCTCAGTATATACTCTAGGCAAAAGCTCAAGAATCTAGGCCCAGCATATAACCTAAGATCTGTCCAAGGAGATAGTCCTGGTATCTAGTATGAGCTTAAATACAGGGTCTAGGATCAATCTTTAAAAGATCCAGCCTGGTGGTTTGGTCATAACCAAGACTTTGGGGGCCAATACCAATGCCTCCCACCTAATCCCAGACCAGGCTGCCTTACCAGGATGTAGTCGGCTCCCCAGGCCCTGGCAAAGGTCAGGGCTTCCTGCTTCAGCTCCATCAAATACTGGTGCCTTTCTTTGGTCCAGTGCTTGGGACTCTGTTCATCTGGGTAGGGCCTGAGGGCGGAAAGAGGTGAGATGTTCTCTTAAGGGAGGAACCTCTCTTGCTCTGCAGGGCTGAGGACAGCCCTGCTCTGGGGGCTGTGACACTGGGTAACAGCTGTTCTCCATCTCTTCCAGCACCCTTGCCCTCCGGTTACCACCTGGCCTCCTCCTCCGGCTTCCAGACCACGGCTGCATAGTCACGGCCCACTGCAGCCAGCCACTCCTGTAGCATCTCTGTGGTGTTGTCCACGTTGTGGTCGGTGGCACACCTGTGAGCACAGGATAGAAAGACTGAGGGGCCACATCCACAGAAGGGCTGGACCCCCGAGGTGCCCTTGACTTTCAAGTGCCTTTGGACACCCTCAAGTCTGGTCTGTCTTGAGAGCAACGGAAGAGAGGTATGACACAGTGGACACGCTGGAGGAGGTGCTGTGTGATCTCAGACCAGTTCCTCCCCTCTCTGTGCTTCACATCCTCCCTTCTAACTTTTGTACTGGGGATTGAACCTAGAGACTTGTACATGCCAAGCAAGCCCTTGACCACTGAGCCACATCCTCAGTCTGAGTAACACTGTGAAAGATGCACTTGACCTTAAGGATCGCACCTGCTACATCCCCTCATTTTCTTCCGTCTTCATGGCACCACAAGCCAGGCCCTTTCCATCTCCGAATCAGACGAAAGAGTCACTGCCTTCCTCTATCCTGAGCTGTGATTAGGACTACATCGTGCTCTGAGCACCCCCTGAGAAGTGCTGGCGGCCTAAGCTCTGTTACCTTGGAGCACAGCTTTCCCTCTGTTGGGGAAGGGGCTCTCATAATGGAGGGGGACAGCTTAGGCAAGAGTTTAGGCGATGCTGCCCCTTTAAGCCAATTCAGAAGTGAAGGCTAACTACGTGTCAAGTCCTACAAGGGTGGGAACTAATTCCCAAACTGTGGTGGCTGTGGGCAGCCTCCCCAGGCCACAGCTCCACCCCAGCCCAACTTTGGAGTGCTGTGAGGAGCAGTTTATCTCTAGCCTCAGCCTGGGCTCCGCCCTGTTTAGGCTTTTATAGACAGACTGCTGTAGCCTCTGAACCCAGCGACCTCTGCCTGCCCCCCCCCCCAGCCTTTAGTTGTCAGATCCCAGCAGCCCCTCTACCCAGAAAGGCTGGCAGAACTCCTGGAGAGGGGACTCAGCCTGACGCCGCTGCCCAGCATGCAGCCTGGAGTTAAGGGCTCTCTCCACCTGCTCCCTAGAAACCTCCAGTCTGACTGACCCTTGCCACGTTGGGCCCCTGGGGATTCCAGAGGTTCCCGCCTGTTCTACTCCAAATCAAGCTGACCACAGGTCCCCACTGAGATGCATGCGAGCTCCAAGGGCTGGGTCAGAAAGGACCAGTCTAACTTAAACCTAGGGTAAGCCGGGGACGAGCAGAGGGCCCAAAGGAGGGCTGGGTGTCCCTGGGCTGACCCATGGCCTCAGAGGTCTGCCCTTGCCCCTTGATGGCTTAGGGACCCTGCTGAAGGGCTTGAGGCCCTGCGGGCATGTCTGGGAGGGAGGAGCTTGCCCGGGTGGTGTCTGGGCAGCAGCGATGAGGCCTCCCGGTCAAAGGCTGTTCTGTATCCTGGGGCTTGATGCCCCGATGTGCCCACCCATGGATCTCTCACCAGAGGGCCAGCCTGGCCCGGGGATAGTCCAGGCGCTCCAGTGCGCCCAGGTAGTGAGGCAGAGAGTGTTCGGCATTGCGGGCCAGGATAGCAAGGACCACCGTGGGCAGCATTGACTCCATGACACCCGCAGCCTGGAGCCGGGGCCCCAGCAGGAGCAGCAGAGGTAGGAGCCAAGCAACACTCATGGCGGGACCCGGTGGTTGTGGAGGCCCCCGGGTCTCCCACCGCGGCAGGGAGGGGGCGGGACGGGCGGGGCATGGAGGCGGGGTCTTTGCGGGGCGTGGCCAGTGCAGTGGGGCCCCTGTGCCCCTCGCGGGCTCCTGCACGCTCAGCTATCCTCTTCTCAGCGTGGGCCCTAGATGTCCACGGTCAGACACCTGCTCCAGACGCGTCCCCGGGGCTGCCCTCTCTGTGTGGACCTCAAAGGGCAACGGCAAGGAAGGGAGGATCCGGGGGCCATGGTGGGCCCCTCGCACCCTGGACATTCATCTCACTCCTGGAATTCGGGCACCCGGGAATCCCGGCTCCTTGACCCTCAGCTGTGGACCCGCGAGGCTGCCGGCTTTGCGGGGAGCCCCGGCTCCCGACCCCTGCGCCGTCTGCGGCGCCCTCTGGCGGCTCCAGGCGGGAACTCCACATACCCTCCAGATGACACGACAGGCTGGAGAGCAAGCCAGGGTGGGGCGGGCACCGGGTGCCGCTGATCTGGGCGCTTAAGTGTCCGCTCATCACCTTCCAAGCTCCAGCCCTTAAAGAAAGCAAAGCCCACTCAGGTGGCGTATAGACTTGGAGGTCACCACAAAATCCCTGATAGTGACCCAGCCCCACTCCAAAATAGGAGACAGAGCCTCCTCTAGGACAGAGCGAGTCTTAGGAGCCTGTTGGTGTAAAAGGGAATCTCTAACCTTTCTGGGGCGGGGCAGGGGGGGGGGCGAGAGATAGGGGCTCCAGAACTTCCAGCTGGGTATCTGTCACCAGCCTCAGACAGTCACTTTCCCCGAGTCTCCTGATCTTCATAGGTAAGACCAGATTAATGACACCTAACATGAGGGTTTGCTAGGGGTCCTTGGGAATGAATGCATTTGAGGTGCTCTCGCTCTTTAGCGCGCACTCCCCTTCCCTCCCTCCCTCTCTCCCTCCCCCCTCCACCCCCACTCTCTCTCCACTGAGCCTGAGCCAGGTTGGAAGAGAGGCCTCTGTATTCTTGAACAGGCTGCTTCCCAGGGGTCCCCTTCAGTCTCTTCTGGACATTAGGGAAGGGTAGGTGCACACGAGGCTGGCACACACTACCTCTACTGACGGATGGGAGGAGTAGGTTCAGTAAAGGAAGGTCTTACCTGGGGATGAACAGCATCCTGGGGGCTGAACCCTGGGGCTCTAGCCTAGCTCTGGTCACAGTTTCCTGTTGGGCTGTTTCCAGGCCAATGGTCCTGCAATGAGAAGGGCCCATGGAAACATCCTGGAGGGAAGCCGGAGTCTTCCCTCTTGCTTGGCAGTCTCTGGCAGAGGCATTCCCAGCCCCTGAATGAGGATTCTCCTTAAAGCTGTCCCCATCCTACACACCGAGAGCCTCTGCCCAGTGTATTAGTAACAGGGGTGCTGTGGTCAAAATGTGCCCCCCCCCAACACTCTGATTAGGCTGAGACCTAATCAACACCACCACAGGACTAAGAAGAGGAGAGTGGGGAGATGGCTCGGGTTTAAGAGCACTGGCTGCTCTTACAAAGAACCATTCCCAGCACCAGCATGGCAGCTCACAGCCTGTGTTCAGTTCCCAGCACCCATTTGTCCGCTAACAACCGTCTGTCATGCCAGTTCCAGGGGATTCAAAGCCTCTGGCTTCCTCAGGCACCAGGCATGCACATGGTGCACAGACTTACACGCAGACAAAACAACCATGCACATTTAAAAAAAAAAAAAAAAAAAGCAGCAGCAGAAGAAGAAGAATTTAAAAGAAGAGGAGGGAAGGGCTGAGCCTGTTGGGTCACATTTGCAATTCCAGCACTTAGGAGCCTGAGGCAGGAGGATGGCCAGCCTGGGCTACAGTAAGAGCTCATCTCAGAAGTAATCAATAAAAAGTGGGGCTGAGTGCCAGGCAGTGGTGGCGCACACCTTTAATCCCAGCACTCAGGAGGCAGAGGCATGCGGATCTCTGTGAGTTCGAGGCCAGCCTGGTCTACAGAGCGAGTTCCAGGACAGCCAGGGCTACAGAGAAACCCTGTCTCAAAACAAACAAACAAATAAACAAAACAAAACAACAACAACAAAGAAGTGGGGCTGAAGAAATGGCTCAGCAGTTAGCACTGACTGTTCTTGCAAAGAACTGGATTCAATTCCCAGCACTCACATAGAGGCTCACAGCCATCTATAACTCCAGTTCCTGGGGATCCGACACCCTCTCCTGGCCTCTGCAGGCGCCAGACACTCATATGGTGCATGTGCATACCAGCAGGCAAAATAGCCAAACACAGGAAGCAAATGAAAGGGGTTTGTTTGTTTTTTTCCGTCTTTTTCTTTTTTCTTTTTGGTTGGTTGGTTTGTTTCCTTCAAGACAGGGTTTCTCTGTGTAGCCCCCCTGGCTGTCCTGGAACTCACTCTGTAGACCAGGCTGGCCTCAAACTTGGAGATCCACCTTTCTCTGCCTCCTGAGTGCTGGGATTAAGATATGCCACCACTGCCCGGCTTTTTTTTTTTTTTTTTTTTTTTTTGGCAAAAACAAGACCTGAGAGAGGTCATCAAACTGCAAGGCGCTGTCTGTGAGGAACAGGCCCTCACCAGACACCAGATCTTCCGGACCTCGTTCTTAGATTTCCTGTCTCCAAACTGTGAGCAAAAACTTTCTTGAGCTAGGTATCGTGGAGGATACCTTTGTCTTAGAACCGAACCGGGTAGCCAGGGGAGGAGGATCCTGAGTTCTAAGGCATCCTGCAACTACATAGCAAGACCAGCTTGGGTGCCCCATGTCGATAATCCTGACACTCAGTCTTGTCTCAGGAAAACAAACAAATCACGGAAGGGGGTGGAGGTGGCTTAGTGCCAGAAGACAACCTCAGGTGTCAGTTTTCATTCTGCATCTCATTTGAGACAGGGTCTCATTTATATACATACACATACACATATATAAATATATATAAACACACACATATATACATACACACACACACATCAGACTAGCTGGCTCAGGAACTTCTGGGGTTCTCTTTTCTCTACCTCCCATATCCCTGTAGCTCTGGGGCTGCAAATGGGTGTCCGTCCACCTTTAACTGGATTCTAGGGATCTGAGCTCAGGTTCTCTGCTTGCATAGCAAGCATTCACCCACTGAACTATCCCCAACCCCTACACCTTAGTTTCTGAGAATAGTGTCTTGTTGAACCTGGTTCAGCAAAATTCAGGTCTTCAGAGATCTTCCTGAACGCCCCCAGGTCTGGGTTACAGACATGTGCTCCTGTGCCCAGTTTTTACTTGAGTTCTGGGAATCTGAGCTCAGGTCCTTATGATGGTCTGGCAGGCACTTTACCAACTGAGCCCCACCCCCACCCCAGCCTTCCGTGATTTGACAAGCCTGAGTGTCGGGATTATCGACATGGGGCACCATGCATGACCCAAGCTGTTCTTGCTATGTAGTTGCAGGATGCCTTAGAACTCAGGATCCTCCTCTCCTGGCTACCCGGTGCACTGTGGCATGCATGTGCACATGTACACATGAGCCTGCACATGTACACACACAACTTTAAAAAAAAATAGCTATGCACGCCTTTAATCCCAGCACTTGGGAGGCAGAGGCAGGCGGAACTCTGAGTTTGAGACCAGTCTGGTCTATGGGGGGAGTTCCAGGACAGTCAGGGCTACACGGAGAAACCTGTCTCAAAAAAACAAATAACAAAAGGTGGAGAAAAATGAAGGAAGACACAAATACATACACACGTCGTCCACACACACAAATACATAAATATACAGAAAGAAAAGAAGAGAGGAAGTAGAAGGAGGAGGGAAGAAGGAAGGCCCCTGGGGAAGGTAAACAAAATTGCATTTCTCCTGCTCACTAGGGACCTAGTCGATGGCATTTTGTCATAAGGGCCCAAAGGGACTAAGAAGGGAGCTTTGGAGGTCTTCCTGGGTCTAGAGATCCTCTCCTCCCTAGCACACTGGCAATCCCTGCTGCCTCCTCCTCCCATTCCTCCCCAGGGCTGCCAGTCCTCCAGCCTGTCACCGCTCCTAGTCCCCACAGCTCTCCCCAGGGCCACCAGTCCTCCAGCCTGTCACCGCTCCTAGTCCCCACAGCTCTCCCATCACGACTGCCCAGCAAACTCCTGCTCCCCACCCTCCTGCAGCCCCCCCCCCCCAGCTCGGCAGTCCTGTGTCCTGCACTCCTGCCGCTGTCCCGTGTTACAGCAAATGCCCTCGATTCTGTCCCTGACCAAGGAACCCTGAGCCATGTTTTGGAGAAAAGGGGCAGCTGTGGCCTGGCAACTCTCTTTATAGCCCCCAAAGTCTTCCTCCCTTTCCTTTCCCCAAGCCAGCTTCTGTTGTCTTTTTCAATGGCAGAGCTTTCCTCTCCTCCCAGCAGAAGAGCCCCAGCCTCCATACCACCTCTTTCCTGTACCCACAACCTCTTCTCCTCTGGTCTTCCTTACAAATTCCAAATGACTTTAATCTCCCCAACTTAGAACAAGAAAACAGCGGGATGTCTGGGAGGCCTCTGCAGCAGCCCTGTGTCTCTCCCTCTAGAATGGAAAAAATCTTTCATTTCTGTTCCCTACCTGACCCACAACAAGGCTGTCCTAGCCTGACCAGCATTCTCCAGCCACTCCCCCGAGCAGACCCTTCCTCCTCCAACAGTGCTGGTCCAAGAGGGGTCAGCAGCAGACAGCGAGAGCCACACCCTCTTTCTAACCCTACTACTACCTGAGTGTATCCACACTCCACTTTCCCAAAATAGAATTCCAGTCTCCTGCAAACCTACTATCTCTGCCCTTCTAGGGGAGGGCACCTCTGTGGGCTGGAGCTGAACACTCAGCTGTCCCGTTCTGTGTGTCTCCTTCACGTGGCCGCTCTCCTGAATCTCATTAGTACCACTCACATGGACACCACACCTTTCAACACCACCAGGGCTGCTGAGACGGCTCAGTGGTTGCCACCAAGCATGACAAGCATGATCCCTGGACCTACATGGTGAAAGGACAGAGACAAATCCTGAAAGATGCCCCTTGACCTCCGTGCATGCCTTGCATGGGTATGCATGTTCACACACATGATCAATCAATAAATGTAATAAAGGAAACATTAAAAAAAACAACTCCTGCCAGGCAGTGGTGGCGCACGCCTTTAATCCCAGCACTCAGGAGGCAGAGGCAGGCGGATCTCTGTGAGTTCGAGGCCAGCCTGGACTACCAAGTGAG